AGTTTTAAAACTGCAATGTGACAGCAGTATTTGACGATTCTATTTGACTCTCAGATATGAAGTGCACCCCACTAATGTACTATCCCACTAATGTACTATTTAGCACCCAAAAAAATGTTTACGTTTTAAAACTCCGATGTAACCTTAGTATTTGAAAGTTTCTATTTGACTCTCAGATATGAAGTGCATCCCACTAATGTACTAGTTTGCAGAATTCTTTCCTAATCTGTCCCTGGGACACCAGCTCTCCCCCTCTCACAGCATTAAACAGGGAGACCAATCTTAGCACCAGCACCTCGCTAAACGGTTTATAGTATGCTCTAGATAGGTCGTCCGGACCCTGGGTCTTCTGTCCCGGGATGGCCGCTATTGCGTCCAAAAACCTCCTCAGGGGTAAAATCCCATCCAAATATAAATTTTTCATGATCCGGGAGAACCAGCAGCTTCACCGACTGAAGGAATTGCTGTATTTTCCCGCAGTAGGCAGCGTTCTCTGCTATGTGGGTTCGGGAGTGGTTATATAATAAGCTGTAATAGCGTGTGAAGAGGTTCTCTATGTCATTTGGAGTGACTATCCCCCTCTTCGGGTGCCTCAGGGCTACAAAAGGTTTCGATCGCGTTCGTAGTTTTAACATTCAGGCTAGAAAGGTATCCATACAATTAGCATTTTCGAAATAAAACCTGCGGGACCAGATCATGTCTCAGGGCAGGGCCCTTTTGAGCTCGGTCCAAATCCCTCTCAATGCCTTTAAAGACTGAGGATCCGGGTTAGATTTATGACGTTCCTCTGCCCGCCGGAGAGCCGAAGCTCCCCTACAGCGTGAGCAGTAGTCCAGGAACAAAGAGCTCATTCCCCTCGCCTGCCAACCAGGCGTCCCACCAAAAGCAGGAGGTAAGAGCACTGGTCCCCACGCCCCCACCCGGCAGCAGCCCAGGAGCCCAGGGGATCCACCGGACCCCACAACCCTCGCTGCCCCCGGCCAAAGTCCGTGCTGAACCCCCAGCCATACCCACCAAACACAGAACTGGTGTATAAAGCGAGAAACAGGCACCCTTGAGACAGGCAGGGCCTGCACATAAGTGCCTCTACGGTTTCTCGAAAGATCATGATCATCCCCATGTCCCCACCCAAAAGTAAAACATTGCCAATGTCCGGAATTCCTCTCCTGGCACCCCTTGCTTTAGGAAACTACTGTTTGCATTTTATCTTTCGGTTGTTTGGTGTTTCAGTTCTTATGTAAGTACGATGACTCCTAATTAAGCATGTTGCGGTTGTTTATATCTGTGTCAATACCCTCTCTCTATAGTCGTGTAACTTGTCCGAGAGGGTGGTACACCATGCTGCCAGGCGGTGTCCCCAGTGGAAGCTCCCCTGACCCTCCATTCCCGTACCCCGTCCAAACCAGGTTTGAGTCTCCTGGCGGCTACTACTGCCCACACTTTCCCCCAGGTGTCCCCCGACGTACCTCTCATGTCAGACCTGCCGTTTCGCTGCTGCCCTCAGCTCATCCATTCTCTGGGTAGTTTCGGCAAGTATGTGACAGTGTCATCAGCAGGGGTGTCAGGCCCAGATCCGAGATGTTGAGTGCCTTCCAGAAAGTGGGAAGATCTCCCTGAGGTTTCAGTACCACCGTCTTCAAGCCTTGGAAAGTGAGCAGCTTTAAAGGATACCCCCAAGCAAACTGGATCTTCTTCTTCCGCAAGGCATCCGCTATTGGCTTCCACATGCGCCTCTTGGAAGGAGCCAGGTCCTGGAAGACTTGTAACTAAGTCCCCGCATATACGGCCTCCGAGCCACAGCTGCTCCTTATGATGGCCTCAGCCGTGGAGCAGTGGTGAAAGAGGGCAATGACATTGCGGGGAGCATTTCCCTGGGCTCCTCTCACCCTCATCGCCCGATGCACGCGTTCTATAGCCCAGTGATCCTCCTGGATTTATGGCAGCAGGGTGTGAAAAATCTTGATTAGAAGGCATGATAGGTTCCCCTCTCCCGATGCCTCGGGCAGACAAGCATCCGGACATTGTACCTTCGGGATCTGTTGGATAAGGCCTCCAGCAGACCCCCCCACAGCCTGTAGTCGGGTTCGGAGGTCATCGGTGGAGTCGGCTATCGCATTATGGGCCTGCACCATGTGCTCCACCCGGGTCTCCAGCTCCGCCGTGCGGTTACCAGTTGCCTGTATTTCGGCCTTAAGGGCTTGCGTGCCCTTCGCTATCTCCTTGACGAGGAAGGTTTTATCTGCCTGCATTTGGAGCAGTTTGCGGGCAGTGCCCTCCGACAGGCAACGAGGAGTCCTAGGCCACATCGTCAGGGTTCTCCACGTGTGGGCTTCCCTGGTCGCCATCTTGGGCCTACTTGGAGCCTTTGCCCATCTGCGTGAATATTGGTGCCACCGACGAGTCCCTATGGGTCTGCTTCTTGCCACTAGCCTTAATGCTGCTAGAGGCTTTCCCAAGAAGGATGGGTGTAAAACCATGGTTCTTGCGATTTGCAGGTGCCTTTAATCAGCCTTTGTTCCGGAGCTCACAGACTATGCGAGCGTCTCGGTCAAAGTCCAGACCATGCCCCCAGCAACAATACAACATTTTAAACCACAATCTATTCGTCTATATTGTTTCTTTCTTTCTTTTTTCCCCATTTTTGTCCAAAGTGAATTCAAGGTGAATTTAAAATTTAAGGCCAGAGTAGTAGAACTGAAATCATAATTAACTTAATAATATAATTTTTCGAGATCATCATATGTGACCTTAAATTAGTAAATTACCTTGAATTCACTTTGTATTCTCCCTTTAGTAAAAAAAAAACAAAAAACCCTGTTAATATCTTTTGACATTCATCCACAAGAAAAGGAAATAATTAGTGCAAGTGATAGTCTGAGCAAGTAGCCAAAACTCTTCCTTCCACATACTTTGAAACAGGTATTTAAACAACCCCACATGTTGCTGAACTACAGTTCCCATGATTTTCTGACCATTTGTAGCATTCAAAGAATTCTGGGAGTTGTAGGCAATTAAAGGGACACTATAGTAACCCAGACCACTTCAGCTCAGTTAAGGGTTTAATCAGGGTTTAACACTTCAGATGCAAACATAGCAGTTTCAGAGAAACTGCTATGTTTACATTTGGGGTTAATCCAGCCTCTAGTGGCTGTCTGGAAGACATTTCGCATCCATCGCGCAGAGCATCCATAGGAAAGCATTGAGAAATGCGTGCGTGGCACTTGCCGCGCATGCGCATTTGGCTCCACTGATGGACGGGGAGGAGAGGTCACCTGCACTGAGGGAGCCCAGTACTGGAATAAGGTAAGCTGATGAAGGGGTTTTAACGGGAGGGGGACCCTGAGGGTGGGGGCACTATAGTGATCCTTTAACATATGGGGGCCAGTGTCTGAGATTCCTGCTTTAAAATAATTAAAGGATTTCCTTTTTAGGATATCTTCTTTTTTCCCAGCATGTATACGCTCTTTAAAAAATTATTGAAAGTACAAGGACCTCCTGGTAACTCGGAGAAGATAGCTCTCTCACTCCTAAAATCTAATAGGAATCTATCGTACCTCAATAGAAATCAGCATTCTTATAACTGAGGGCAGAAACAGGAAGTTTTCTTCCTCCTTGTTAGCTCCACCGAGCTAACCAAAGTGGCAGGTACGTTATACTAGCACATGCCTGCGTTCCCCTCTTCTACAGCTCATTAAGACGCACAGGAAGCATAAGGGACATTATAGGCAGCTAGAACACTGACTATTATTGAAGTAGTCTGGGTGCAGTGTCCATGTCACACTTAGTCCAGTGCTGCCCTGGACTGAAAGGAAGAGCAGACATGACTGCAGCCCAGAAGTAAGGGGGTTGGCACAAAGGTACAACATTGTTGCAAGTTGGAGGGGATAAACAGGAGGAACAGGGGAGAGGACTCACCAGTCATCCAGAAGGCATGTAGGGGACCCTGACTCTTTCCCGCCCACCCTCCCTGTGTTTCTTGCAAAATGGTTGTTGGGTTTTCTGTTGTCTGTTCTTGGTTCTGGTTTTGTTTTCTCGTTGTCACAGCAAAATGGAAAGTGAAATGAAACGATGAGTCGGCTTGGGGAGCCGCAGCCTGCCGAGGGTTGATGGCGGTAGGCAGGCTGATACAAACTCTGGACAAGGAAGTGGGATCTGTCTGTCGGGGGAAGTTACACAACATCTGACAGTTGGATGGAACGCTGGTCTGTTAAAACGTTGTAAATTTAATAAAGCTGTGGCCGTTACCCTTACCCATAATTCTGGTCTCATGTGTTTTTGTTGGGGGCAACGGGGGGTGGCACTAGTCAGCAATCATGCAATAGTTTTAGAATAACTGCAATGTTTACATTGCAGCACTAAGACAGTCTTTAGTGACTGTCTACCAGACATCCACTTAAGTAGCATCCTGCTTGCTAGGCGAATTTAGGTTGCCTAACTGACACTTCACATCCTCAGACTCTGCATGAGGATATCCAGTGTCAATGAAAACCCCATAAGAAAGCATTGATTTAATGCTTTCCTATGGGGAGGGTCCAATGTGCTTGCGACGCACGTAATACGTAATACATTGGTCCCTCCCGTCAAAGGAGGCGAAGTGTTGACCCAGCGCTGATGGACATCAGCGCTGGGATCGGGTAAGTAAATAAAGGATTTTTAACCCTTTATTGGCTGGGGATGGGGTGTGAGGGAGGGGGAAGGAATAGGGAGCTATAGTGTTAGGAATGCAGGTTTGTATTTCTAACATTATAGCATCTAATTCATGAGAAGTCTCTGAGTGAAGCATTCATCAGCACACACTGTGTTTAAGTCCCTCCGAACACCTTATCAACTGCATTAAGAAGTTGTTATGGTGTCCTTTTAAGGTGCTTTAAATGAAGAATTCTCTAAGCTAGGAAAGGAATTCACATTAAATAGTTATGAGAAAGTTAAACGGTACATGAAGGTTACCATATACATAACATTACACAGATTAACAAAGCTAAAATTCAACACCCACTTACAGTCCTCAAATTTGGAAATATTCACGAGCTGAGTTCCCCGAATGGCTGTAGGGCGAGCACTATGAAGCTTAGAATATATATAAGTTGCCCTTTGCTCAGCCAACCTCTGCTGTTCCATTTCTTGTTTAATGCTATAATCCCTCTTGGCACGAGGTCTCCTGTTTAATGGCGCATAGTGCGGTACTTCATTCATTTTGTTGTTCTTAAAGTGGCAGGTATCCTCCTTCTCAACTGAGCCTCTTTCATAATTTGACACTGGAAAAGAGAAACAGAATTTACATCTTCTGCATTAAAGACATTCAGGGTTATTCACTAATGTCAGAATTTGCCAGGAATTCTAAGTGAATTCAGAGTCATTTTTAAAATTTAGACCAAAATAGCCAAACTGGAAACATTCTCTAAGTCAATTGTGTTTACAGTTCGCTATTTTGCGCTTACATTTAAAATACGCTTTGCATTCACTTTAAATTTAATTCTCACATTAGTGAATAACCAAGACATAGTCATGAAAATTATTGTAAAATTATTTGTTTACTTATTTGATATAACTAGTACATTCTGACAGGAATAACGGAAAATAAAACTGGTTTAGCCAAAAGCTGAATAAATGAAAATCTATTAATTATATTTGTGCTTTGAAAACAATCAATATTAGAATAGTTTGATTTTTGGCTTAATAGTATTATAAACATATACATGTATAAATGTAGTATAAAAGATAAAAAATGTAATGATATCATGTAAAATAAGTGATAGAATCAGTAAGCGGATAAACAATCTGTCGGTTTACAGCTAGATGAAGTGTGCCAGAGGTTAACCAGGGTTTCCCTCTTTCCTATTTTATATTCGTGCTGATTTCCCTTATAGCTTTTATTAGACAACCGGGAGGGGGCTCTTCCTCATTGGCTGTGAGCACTTGTTCAAAGTTGGAAGGCTTCTCATAAAGTAGCACTGGATTCAATGCTTCTCTTTGTGAAGTATTTTATTGGCACAATGATTGCTACACATGTGCAATAGAACATTGTGCCTGTATGAAAACACAGTGTTGTGATCTGGGCAATGTTCTGCTGGGAAACCTTGGGTCCTGGCATTCATGAGGATGTTACTTTGACACGTACCACCTACCTAGAGATTGTTGCAGACTTTGTACATCCCTTCATAACAGTGGTGTTCCCTGATGGCAGGGGCCTGTTTCAGTAGGATAATGAACCCTGCCACATTGCAAAAATTGTTCAGGAATGGTTTGAGGAACATGGGAAATAGTTTATAGTGTTGCCATGGCCTCCAAACTGCCCAGATCTAAATCCTATTAAGCATCTGTGGGATGTGTTGGAATCACAAATCCGATCCATGGAGGCCCCACCTTATAAATTTCAGGATTTAAAGAGACATTATAGTCACCAGAACATCTACAGCTTAATGTAGTTGTTCTGGTGTCCACAGCCTGTCCCTGGAGGCTTTTTAATGTAAACACTGCGTTTTGACTATCGAAAAGGATTGGATTGGCTGAAATTGTAAAATTAAGTATCTCAGCCAAGGAGGTGAAGTGGGGGCGGAGGCGGGGGCAGAGGTGGGGGCAGAGGCGGGGGCAGAGCAAGCCGTAACGAGACCCCGTTCAGTGCTGGAATAAGGTGAGTTTAAAACATTTTTAATGGGGGCAAGGGGTGCCATGGACCTGACAGGAATGGGGTGTAGTGTGCAGCCCCTGCTACCTGTCACCCAGTATGGATCATCCTCTTCCCCTTTAGTACACCACTAATTAGGGGCAAGTAACTGCTTTTGTAGTGCACTCTTGGGGAAGAATACTGAATCTAAATTAACTTTTTAATACTACGGTGTTAGAAATAAATGTATTCCTATAACTTAAATTTTTTTTAAATTAATATAAAAACTGTGCTTTATACTAAACAGACTTTGCCAAAGAAAATAAAAGGTTTGAGGTTTTGGTTAATCAATTTAGTCAGTGTCCATTACATTCACCCACACCACTGCAATAGTCCATAGAGTTTATTGGATTCAAATTACAAATACAAATATTTGGTAAAGATATATTTGCACCAATCTACAGACTACATTCACAAAAACCACAAGAGAGCTTGAACACATGCAATGCAGTTTAAAAGCAGACATGATCCAAAGTGATAATTTTATATTATTTTTAATTTCTGTTTATATGGCAGTGTAAGCTATAATTATAACAAATAACACAACCATATTCTTATTAGTATTAAGACATGTTTATGAATTGCACAGGAAATAATAAACTGCATTATTAATATACTTAAAGTTTGAATACCAGCTAATGTAAATATAACCAATGTATATGTGTAGGTTATTTTTTTCTGAAGTTAACCTTTATCTCTAAACATTTTTCAGAAAGTTTCTGATTATTTTAGAACAACTTACATAATAAGGTTAACAATAAAAGCCTCAAAGTCTTCATTTTGATTAAAAACAAAACAAATCTGAGAGAAAGGTGTTTAGCCTCAAAGGACATTCTGTGTTTACCCTTCCCCATGATATAATCTAATCTTTTGCATAATGGTAGTCTTCACTAAGTGAAAAATATTTTAAGATATTTATCTCTGTTGAATGCAATCACCTGCACATAAAAACACATTAAGAATTAATTGACTTAAGTATATCTCTAATTAATGGGTAATTGTAGATAGTTGCATATATAAATAACAATATCAGGGTTATTTACTAAAGTGAGAATTCAGAGTTAATTTCACATTTAAGATAAAAATACCCATAATGGAAAAACTATTGAACCAATGAGTTGAAATTCTTACCACGTTTACAGTATCCCTTTAAATGGACACTCTAGGCACCCAGACCACTTTGCAGCACTAAGACTGCCTCTAGTGTCTGTCAATCAAACACCACTAGAGGCACTTCCTGCTTTCTAATCGACTTTTGGTGGATGAGGATATCCAGCGTCAGTAAAATCACCATAGAAAAGTACTGCAACAATGCATTCCTAGAGGGAGGGCCTAAAAAACCCCCATTCGTTAATTCTGGTAAACTTTAGGCTACTTTTTCACTTTTAAAAAAACAGCTTTTTTGCCACCTTTTTATAAAGGTCAGTGTTTATACAGTTCTTTCGCTATAGCTGACCAGCATTTTCTGCCACTGATTCTGTAGTAATATTCTTAGTATTTTTTGCCACTAAATTCTGTAGTTCACTAATTTCTGACCTTTTTTGAATTAACAATAAGGTGTGCTCTTCGTGGTATTGTCCTCAAATATTTTTGCACGAAAGCGATACATTTTCTCACATCGGTACAGATTGTGGGTTAGTATTATTTGGGGAGTTTTCATGACCCCAGTACCATTTTCTAATTGTTTACATGTTTGTGTATACATTTACTATTGCAGCCATCGACGTAGCTGTAAAGGTAAGGTACTATGAGCTAATGGGACTGAAAATTAGTAATGAGGTAGGGGCGGCATTTAAACTGCTTAATACACGTGTTTTATTCTGATCAGGAAATTTAGAAGGTCACGCTGAAGGTTAAAGGTTAGAAGGTTGAAAGTGGACTCTTTCTGGCAGTTTGTAATGGCCATTAGGCTAGCAGCAAGTATAGAATAGATTGCTGCTTTCTTTCTCCTACAAGGTACTATAGGAGAATAAAATAGATGATAGCAAGTGTTAAGTCATTATTACTCTTTAGAATGTGTCAGTGAGTGGGGAAAGGTGTGTTAATTCTCTAAAAATAACAACATAACAGAAGCGTGCACCCTCACACACAGACTTATGTACAAACAATATATAATACATAAAAGAAAAGTAGATCTTTTGTCAATATAGGCTTTGGCCAAACAGTATTATTCTGCTAAAAACAATATACAATACATTGTGCGGAATTACACAGGTCAAATGTTGGTGGAACACTCTGAATCCCTAACAAGTCCAGAGCCAGCATATGGACTCTATGAATACAGCTTCACAACAAAATTCTAAATGTTGTTTGTTCTCTGTTCCCAAGATGAATCACAAGGAGAAAGACATACCATTAGAAATATAAATGAGCCATACCATTAAAATTTTGTTTTTAAAAATGAGCCTTTATTAGATTTGTACAATGTCTGGAAAAAAAGCCAAAATGTAGTTTGTGTTATGTGATAGTCACCCCACGTGGATGTTAAACTCACCCACATATCATCCATACAAAATGTTTGGGAAAAAAAAAAACATTGGGCAAAACCAAAAAAGGTGCACATATGGACCAATCAATGTACTACGAAATGTAAATCTTATGCATATATTTCCCAGAAGGCTGGTAGGTACCATTTGGTTCACAGATCAATTCAGAAAAAGTAGCCAATAAAGGGAAAAGCAAAAATAAAAATTAAAAAAATCTATATAAATTTATGTATATAATATAATTATTGAATATATTATATATAAAAATAGATTTATTTTACTGTGCTTCCTTTTTTCCCTCTATTGGTTACTTCTCTTGATGTATAAAGAAATCCAACATTTACTGGCTGCACCCTAACAATTAATAATTTTTTTCCCTGTAATCATCTGTTTTTGATGCCACGTATGGAACTCCGATAAATGAAACAAACGAACATGCTTATCCATTGTCCAGCTCGTTTGTTTGCAACACATCCCTATGGCACTTCGGAGTTACAGAATTCGTATGACCCGTCGCTCGACAAAAATGTGGAAAACAAATCCCAGTTCATTGGAAACCGAATGCACAATTGTAGCATTTAATAAATAAGAGACAAATAGCTTCTTTTATCATAATAAATTGTAACTGGTATAACGTCCATGCCAGGGTTCAGTGTCCTGAGAAAGTTCTTTAACCCTTGTAACCCGTCCCATGTAGCGCTGATATCACCATAACGTGTTTCAACCTAAAAGTACAAATAAGTCTACTCCTACCTAGAGACTTATAAAGGTTTCAGTTATCTAAGCTTCTAAGTCATATTACCTAGGGATAATAAAGGAATTAATAGTGTAATATTTGACAACTTACATGTAGGGGTAAACATTACATTAGAAAATTAACTTAATTACTCCAGAAAGTCTTACCCCAAAGTGCATTGGGGTAACATATTTTTTTTTTTTTTAAATTACATCATTAACAGGAAAAATACTAAGGCTACAATTTTTGTTTTATCTTACTACTGGTGGTTTTATTTTAGTATACTAATAACGGTTAGTTTTTAAACTGAATTATGTCCATGAAAAGATTTATAAAATAGAGAATGTCCTGGCTATACGTATTCTAAAA